ACATATATACTGTATACTCTTGATATATATATATATATATATATATATATATATATATATATATATACAGAGTATATATATAATGTATATACACAATATATATATATTTATATATGTATACATATATATGTATATTTATATATGTATACATGAATTTATGTATGTATATGTATACATATACATACATACATTTATGTATGTATATGTATACATGAATATGTATACATGAATTTATATATATTTATATGTGTGTGTGTATATATATAAATATATTTTTTTTATTATTTATATATACACATATACTGTGCTGCAAATGATAAAGTTAAAAAAGTAAATAAATATATATATAATGTGTATATGTATTTATGTATATATTTAAAAAACAAGTAAATAAATACATTTTTATATATGTATATATGTATTTATTATATACTTGTTTTTTAGAGCACTGTGGAGAAATTTAACACATTTTTTAATTAATTTTTTTTTTTCTGTGAGAATATGTTTTTTTTAAGAATTACAATTTTTTAAATACATTTTGAAGCCGTCGCTGTGGTCGCGTTGCTGTGTGGGTGGGGGTGGGGGGTGGTGTCAAGGCATTTTATTGAGATATATTGTGGTAGTCGACCTCAGTCGACCTGCAGTCTGACACAGATTATTAAACGTGTTTTTTTTGTTTTTTTTCTAAACACTTCCTGTTTGTCCCCTCTGCTGTTCCAGGATCTGTCCGGCTCCATTGACGACCTCCCCACTGGGACGGAGACGGGCCTGGGCTCAGCCGGCGGCGCCGGCGGCTCCTCCTCCAGCAACAGTACCAACAGCAGCCAGGTGGAGGCGGGGGCAGCGGGTAACCAGGGGCAGTCACCCTTCTCTCCACACCTCCCCAACCAGAGGAGCGGCCCCTCCCCTTCGCCCGGTGGCTCCCCCGCAGGCTCCACTCTGTCCCAGCAGTCCCGCTCCGGCTCTGGACCCATCTCCCCCGTCAGTGGCCCCCCCACCAACACGGCCGCCTCTGCCCCAGGTAGGGGTTTCTGTCCGGGCCTCTGCTCATAAATCTTCATAACACGGTTTCATCCTGATGAGAGGAGCCACTGGTTTATTAGGTTAATCACCGCAAACAAACGAGATCACGCCGGGGTTTTTGTTTTTTTTTGTTTTTTTGTCGGCGAGCCACGACGTTCGATTCCCTGGGAAATTGACTAAATTGCTTTACAGCTTTTAAAGAGAAATTGCCTGGTGTCTCCATGTGAGGGGCTGCGGTTTGAAACCCGGTTAGAAAACGTGATTCCCATCAGTGGTGCAGTGGTGATGACCCAACCTGAGTGACTCCGGCGATGTGGGCGTGGCCACCAGGAGCTCCTCATTAGATGTTATTCGCTGTATATAAATAATTCTGCCAGCGTTGCCAAGGCGGTGGCGCCGTTGCACCTGTTACTGCTGAAAGCATTTCACAGCTACCACACCTAAACGATCCTGCCTGACCTTTTCTATTCATATTCCTGTTGAAGACCCACGGCCCGTTTCATTTGTTTTTAAATATGTGCATTTATAGAGGATTTTAAAAAGGTCATGTAGAAAAATGACCCCCGCGGTGACTGGCTGTTTGTATGAGTGTCTGGATGTTTCCACGTCTACCAGCGCGCCGATATTCAAATGTGCTCGACTTCACCTCACTACTTTATTACGACCAAACAAACGGAGATAAATCTCACCTGAGTCACGCTCTATTTTTTTATCTTTTAATTTGAAAAGAAAAAATGTGTTTAATAATTTAAATGCCCTTCCTCCCCTGCAGGGGGTGCTATGCAAACTATACTTTAGTCCAGGTGTGTGCACGTGTTTGTGTATGTGTTGAGGGGAGGAGGGGGGTCACGTGCACAACAAAACATAATAAAGTGCAATTTATAAAATTGCATCATTTTATTAATATAATTTAAATATAACGACTATTTTATATTTATCTTTTGAAGTGACGTGGCAGTTTTTCAAAATAAAATGTCATGCAGACTAACGTTAAAACTAACGTAAAAAAACAACAATAAAAATAAAACATTTTATTCTTTCCGTGTGGCCTAGTACCAAATGGTCCAAGGCCCCAGGTGGTTCAGGACCCTCAGTTTGAGCCACTTCAGTATTTTAATCATATCAAATTATTGATTGGAGACACGCAGTGGAATAGCGGTTTTCTTGCCTTACAGCAAAAAACGTTGCATGTTTAAATCAAATAGGAAATAAAAATTAAAAATAATATATATTAAATTAAATTAAATTATATTTCAAATAATATAAATATATATATAAATAATAATCAAATCGCACCAGCTAACGGTGTTTGTGTCGGGGTTTCTTCGTCCGACGGTCTCTAATCCAGGCAGGATTATCGTAATCGTTGACGTGACTGGTGTGAGTGTGAACGGTTGTTTGTGTCGATGGCTTCAACAGGGGTCGGCTCCATCACACATTCAAGACGGCAACGGTTTTATCAGACGACACACAGTGACTGTGTCTGTCCCCTGGGGGCAGCGCTGAGCACATGACTATTTCGATAAACACAAAACTGTATAAACAAGTGACAATTTGATTCGTCTGAGACCGACCTGTTCGTGTGTGTGTGTGATGATGTGCACGTGCCGTAGCTATTCCCTCGTCCCTTCACCCTCTCTGTCCAACCGAGCTGCTGACCGACGCGTCTTCACGTCTCGGAGCCGTCAGTCAGTCTGACGAGGCGGGGCGAAATGTCTTGAGTGAGATCCTGACACCCGCTCCTCCTTGGCTCCTCTCTGCCGCTCTGCGGAGTGATTGACACTAATGAAAAACTGCGACAGTGGTTTTTCCAGGCCCGGGTGCCAAGAATCATGACAAGAATCCCGAATGAGCCGGCGAGACGGGAAGCGAAACTGATCGCCGGGACGTGATTAATAAGAAAACATTTTAAAATATTCCCCATGCCAAATAAATGGTGATAAAGCGTGGAGCGCTGAGTAACATCTGACATGTTTTAGCGGCTGTACTACAATCAGTTTGAATTAGATCAAGAAGCTGCCAGGCCCGCAGAGACACGGGAGAACTAATGTGGTTAGCACACACATCTGATTACTAACGCCGCGCTCTCCAGCACTTCATCATAAGTTAGAGTTTCAAGTTGAGGCACTTTGGTTAATGTTGTTGTCACAGCTGGGTACGAGTCACTGGGCCAAGGAAACAGAGCAAGACACTTTACAAGCCTTGTGTTTACGACCGGGAGCTGAGGTTTCTGGGAGTTTTTTTTTTGTCGTCATTGTCTGTTGTTTCCGAAGTTGCGACAAACATGCTCATTATTCGGAGCAGTTGCGTGAAGACAAGTGTCTTCGACAGTAAGTAAACAAAATCTAAGGCTAATAGGCAAATTAATTAGCATGAAAACAGCGACAGTAGCTTTAGCTGAAACTGAAAAAAAAAGTTCAAACCCTTTTAATTACATTTGTTGTTTTTTTTTTTTGTTTTTTTTTTCAAATAAACATCACATTTCTCCACAACGGTAATGTCAGCTGTCAACACTAGGGGGTGTGAGAAAATATTGATACACTGACGTATCGCGATATTTCATTTCTTATTACCGTGTCGATATTCTACGGCAGTGTAATGATTTTTTTATTACCAATTAACAGTAAAATATTTATGCAGAGTCAAACAAACATTTTTTTTCATTTGTTTATCCAGAAAATCTAAAAGTTTTTCTTTATTCTTCTTTATTGTAAGTATATACAATGAAATATATAGATAATATCATTATTGCATATTTTTGTGCATATTATTATATTATTAGTAGTAGTTTTATTGTTTATTGTTATTTATTATTATTATTACATTATATTAATAATATATTATTATTGTAATATAATATTTGATCGTAAGTTAACGTTCCGTTTTTGTTATTTTTCATCACCTTAACTGTACATATACAAACACATATGCACGCGATCAAACTTGCCACTTTCAGAAGCGAGGCTCAAGTCCTGGTGCCAGCTCCACACTAGGCCACGCCGCCTGTTTCTGACGGTCGGCCGTTATTGGTTGATTTGTCTTTGTAGAGACAGTCGAGACAGAACACCCGTCTGGACTGGGCTTTGACCGCGGTTTGGTCAGCGGCGGAGTCAGTGCTCCGGTAGGCGATGGTGTAAGTATGGGCTGTTGTGTGGCAGATATTGTGTCATTGCTCAGCCGCGCTGCAGGACGGGGGCGCCGTGTCACGGCGTCGTACCCTTGACAGCGGCCGGAGGAGAGCGGTTACATCATGTGGTCCTTTCACCTGGCTGTCAGTGGAAATGAGAGAGAGAGAGAGAGAAAGACAGAGAGAGAGAGAGAGAGAAAGACCGAGAGAGAGAGAGTCAGAAAGACCGAGAGAGAGAGAGTGAGAGAGAGAGAGAGAGAAAAAAAGAGAGAGATAGAGAGACAGAGAGAGAGAGTCAGAAAGACCGAGAGAGAGAGAGTGAGAGAGAGAGAGAGAGTCAGAAAGGCAGAGAGAGAGAGAGAGTAAGAAGGAGGGAGAGAGGGAGAGAGAGAGAGGGAGGGAGAGAGAGAGGGACAGAGAGAGAGAGAGTCAGAAAGGCAGAGAGAGAGAGAGAGGGAGAGAGAGAAAGACAGAAAGAGAGAGAGAGAGTCAGTCCTAGTGTCAAAATATATATTTATACATCAATGAGCGCTTTATTTCATTTATTTATAGAGACGAGATCACAGCACACACAGTACACATTAGTACACAGTAGTACACAGTATATGTATTAGGTGTGTGTGCATGTGTGTGTGTTAGAAATAGACATTGTTAGACAGATTGCCAGCCCATCACACAGCCATACACTTTGCACAAATCTATCTTGTCAGAGCTTCTCAGCATGACTATGATTCTGTCCCTCTCTCCCTCTCTTCATCTCTCTCTCTCTCTCCCTCTCTCTCTCTCTCCACATGAAGCAAATCCAATACACTGTAACATTATCCCGGCCTTGCCTTGCTGTTTGGATTCTCTCCCAGAGCCAAAAAGGCACACACAGGGCCAAATTGATTTTCCTGTTGCGCTAGATTTGTGACAGTCGAGCAGAAATCACATTGCTCAACCGCCAGGCTCCCTCATTTCCTCCTCCCCCTCCTCCACCTGCACACACACCCACACACATACTGTACACAAAAACAGTCTCTCGTACACACACACACACACACGTGCCGACGCTTCGTCCCAGTGTCTCTGAAGCAATTCACCGAGTCCTCCGAATATTTTTCTCCTTCCCTGAGACATTGGGGACGAGGCGAGCAGGAATTCATCTCTTATCTGGATGGATGTGCGGCGGAATTGGAGCGCCGGCTTTGGAGCTTCCATCACTGATGACTAGCTAGGGGAGAGGGCGAGCGAGGAAGAGAGGCAAAGTCACCCAGTCACAGAGTGAAGAACACGATTCCCTAAAATTCTCGAGTCACATGGCTCGGTTTTTGCACGTGTTTTTTGAAAAGGGAAAACTTTAGCTGCCGTACTCAAAGGTGTTGAAAACGCCGTGTTTTTTCCTTTTGCGGCCGTACGCGCTGCAGCTGCTCGTATCCAGGTTGACAGTCTGTCAGTGTGGCGTCATTTCCTGTCAGCCCGAGCGCCGCTGTCACTTCTTTCCAAAAAAAGCATCTGAGACAAATCCATTTGTTCTCCTGCTGAGCGTCGACATCAGCCTGGATCTGTGTTTCCATCCAATATATCCACCGTAATTCGCTGTTGATATGACGACAGACGGCAGCAGCTTAAAATATACGTTTTCATTCCTGTGAGTTCACAGACGGAGGAGAGGACGTCCAGCAGTAGAACATCACGGAATGTTAATACAGTGATTTTTAAAGAGAGGCCTCCAGGGGGCGCTGGGAGGGGCCTCAAAAAATTGGAGGGATATTGAGAACCACTGTCAGTGTAATCATCAGATTCTCAAGTTTCCGAGTACCGCTAGCTAGCATGTAGCTAGCTAGCATGTACACAAAAATTTTACACAAATGTATTAGTAATTAGATGGG